CCTGTTATTAGGGGTGAGCAAAACTCGACCGACTCGAAAAATCAATTTTTTTTCAATTTTGAGTTATTCGAGTCAACTCGAATTATAAATTTGATTTTCGAGTTTGAGTCTAGTTGAAATTTTAAATTTTTGAGTTACTCGAAAAACCAAAAATTTGACCTAGTACTTTGACAGTTTTACGATCTAATCCTTGATTTCATTATTTCTGCAATTCCTCCTTCATTTTAAGTCCATTTTTTAACCAAATTTGAACCACATGCTCCTAAACCACATTAGAATACATGTGTACTTTCAATTCCTCTTTTTGATAACAAATTTTTTATTTTTCAATTTAGTCCTTCAATCTTTCATATCTCCTTATTTCTTCAATTCGTCTTTTGTTTTAAGTCCCTTTTTTTACCAAATTTGAGCCACATGCTCCTAAACCATAGTAGAATACATGTGACTTTCAATTCCTATTTTTTATAAGAATTTTTTATTTTTAAATTTAGTCCTTCAATTTTTCATAATGTCCTTATTCCTTCAATTTTTGATTTATTTTAAGTCCTTTTTTACCAAATTTGAACCACATGCTCGTATACCACAATATAATACCTATGTAACTTTAATTGTTATTTTTTTACTAAAGATATACTATCTTTTTTATTTAGTCCCTTAACTTTGCATTTTACTCAATTAGGTCTTTTGGCTACATTTTTTGCAAATTCTTTATTCTCATCAATATTTTACCTTCAAATACTTTCTTTAAATATAATTTATATATTTTATAATTTAGATTTTATTGATATATTCAATACATTATAATATGAAAGAGTATAATATATTACTATGGTTAGATAAAGTCAAATTGGACAAATCATTGCCATAATACTATAAATATTATAATAAAATTAGTACAAAAACTCGAATAACTCGACTCAAATTTCTTAAACTTGACTCGACTTGAAAAAATTTCAAGTTAGTTTGAGTTGTAAAACGACTCGTCAACTCGAATACTCGATTTTTTTGACTCGACTCGATCGAATGCTCACCCTTACCTGTTATAGTGTTTTGTGAATATAAATGAGAAATGAAGAATTTTTTTAAATATCCGACTAATACCCCCAAACTTCGGGTCAATAATTGAATGTAAGGATTAAAATTTGGTGGTTTAATTTGAATAATTGAAATTTTCAAGGACGGATTTGGGAAATTGTTTTAAGATTTATTATCAAGATGGAAAGATGGAAGGGCATTATGGTCTTTTAGCAGAAAGGATTTAAAATTTATTTTAAAGGGTTATATATAACATGTGGGGAAATAGAGGAAAAGAAAAAGAAAGTCTGGAAGCTTGGCTTTCTCTTCCTCTCTTCCCCGTATGCTTCCGAGGCTAAGGTAAGTTAATTGAAGTTAGTTAATTCTTTCATTTTTGACTTGGTTTTGGTTCTTTGGGTAATATAGAAGCTTATAAAGCTTAAAGATGGGTTGAAACTAAGATGGAGAATTCATGGTGAATTATCAAATGGGATTTTTAAGGGAATTATAGAATTGATGAATATTTGGATTCTAAAGGAATATTTGACTTGTCATAGGTGTAAAAAATTTGAAGTGTTAAAAGGCTTGAGAACATGTTTGAAAATTGTATGATTTTAGTTTCAAGAGTTCTATAGAGAAATTAAGGTGTTAAAGGGTTTTAAAGGATATAAGTTAATGTAATAAGTGTAATAAGTTTAAAGGCATGAATGAAGTCTAAGTAGGAGATTTAATTGAAGTTTGTAATTTTTGAAGTGAAATAGATGAATTATGGGTAAGGGTATCAGTATGGAAAGAACAATACTCATACTATAGGTTAAATTGAATGGATCTAAGTAGGAGGTATTATTGCAATTATTAGGTATTATTGCAATTATTCTTGAATATAAATAAATAATACATTATTTTTCGGTCAAGGCGGATATTTTCACCCTAAACTCGGATTCGACTCGATCAACCCAAACTTATCTTCTAAAAATTTGACTCGATCGAAACTCCATTTTTTTCTTGCAAAACTCGACTCAAAGAATCAGACTAGATCAGAACTTAGCTTAGTTTACATTTCATGTATAAGTACATATTATTAGGGTGAGCAAAACTCGACAAAAAATCGATTTTTTTTCAATTTTGAGTTATTCGAGTCGAGTTATTCGAGTCAACTCGAATTATAAATTCGATTTTCGAGTTTGAGTCGAGTTGAAATTTTAAATTTTTGAGTTACTCGAAAAACCAAAATTTGACTTAGTACTTTGACATTTTACGATCTAATCCTTGATTTCATTTTTCTGCAATTCCTCCTTCATTTAAGTCCATTTTTAACCAAATTTGAACCACATGCTCCTAAACCACAGTAGAATACATGTGTACTTTCAATTCCTCTTTTGATAACAAATTTTTTATTTTTCAATTTAATCCTTCAATCTTTCATATCTCCTTATTTCTTCAATTCGTCATTTGTTTTAAGTCCGTTTTTTACCAAATTTGAGCCACATGCTCCTAAACATAGTAGAATACATATGACTTTCAATTCCTATTTTTTATAGAAATTTTTATTTTTGAATTTAGTCCTTCAATTTTTCATAATGTCCTTATTCCTTCAATTTGTGATTTATTTTAAGTCCTTTGTTTTACCAAATTTGAACCACATGCTCATATACCACAATAGAATACCTTTGTAACTTTAATTGTTATTTTTTTACTAAAGATATACTATCTTTTTATTTTTGTCCCTAACTTTGCATTTTACTCAATTAGGTCTTTTGACTACATTTTTGCAAATTCTTTATTCTCATCAATATTTTACCCTCAAAATACTTTCTTTAAAATATAATTATGAATATATTTTATTTTTAGATTGTATTTGATATATTAAATAACATTATATATGAAAGAATATAATATATATACTATGGTTAGATAAAGTCAATTTGGAACAAATCATTGCATAATACTATAAATATAATAAAATTAGTACGAAACTCGAATAACTCGACTCAAATTTCTTAAACTTGACTCGACTTGAAAAATTTCAAGTTAAGTTTGAGTTGTAAAATACGACTCGTCAACTCGAATAACTTGATTTTTTGACTCGACTCAATCGAATGCTCACCCTTACATGTTATAGTGTTTTGTGAATATAAATGAAATGAAGAAACTTTTTACATATCCTGTGTAATACCCCCAAACTTCGGTCAGTAATTGAAATGTGAGGATTAAAAATTTGGTGGTTTAATTTGAATAAATTGAAAATTTCAAGGACGGATTTGGGAATTGTTGTCTAGGATTTATTATCAAAGATGGAAAGATGGAAGGGCATTATGGTCTTTTAGCAGGAAAAGAATTTAAAATTCATTTTAAAGAGTTATATATAACATGTGGGGAAATAGAGGAAAAGAAAAAGAAAAGTCTGGAAGCTTGGCTTTCTATTCTTCTCTTCCACCGTATGCTTCCGTGGCTAAGGTAAGTTAATTGAAGTTAGTTAATTCTTTCATTTTTGACTTGGTTTTGGTTCTTTGGGTAATATAGAAGTTTAATAAAGGTTAAAGATGGGTTGTAACTAAGAGATGGATAAATTCATGGTGAATTGTAAATGGGATTTTAAGGGAATTATTAGAAATTGATGAATATTTGGCTTGTCATAGGTATAAATAAGAAATTTGAAGTGTTAGAAAGGCTTGAGAACATGTTTGAAAAATTGGTATGATTTTTAGTTTTAAGAGTTCTATAGAGAAATTAAGGTGTTAAAGGGGTTTCAAAGGATATAAGTTAATGGTAATAAGTGTAAATAAGTTTAAAGGCATGAATGGAGTCTAAGTAGGAGATTTAAGTAAAGTTGGTAAATTTTCGAAGTGAATAGATGAATTATGGGTAAGGGTATCGGTACTGGAAGAGCAATACTGATACTAAGATTAAAATTGAAGGAATACCATGAATACGATGAACAATATCGATACTAATTGAAGTAATATCGATACTAATTGAAGCATATCGATACTGATGTGAAGGTATCGATACCAAGATGAGGTATCGATACTATAATTAAAAAAACTATTGTGTGAAGGACTAATAATTTTTAATAAACTGAGATGATTATAGATAATATATATTTAATATTATTAGTTTTAACAATATACACACCCAACAAACAATTGTTTAAATTCAAAAGGAAAATAAAATTTCTTTTACTATAAAATCCTTAATGAATTCATATAAATATTTTTATTAAAAAAATTGTTAAAATCTATATAACGTAAATTCGACTCGTGAAAAGTAATATAAAATATTTTATGTATTAATTTAGAGGAAAAAAGTGTAAGAATGATGGATTAGGCATTATTTCATTGCAACAAACTCAAAAGAGCTCCTTTTGATAGCATTGCTTTATGGAAGACTTCAGCTCCAATAGTTATATTCCCGACATTACCTGATAATATTTATATGAGCACCCGTAAGGTTTTTGTCGAATAATGTACTTTTATTATTATTATTATTATCATAAATAAATTATATTTATTAATTTTATAAATAGTAATTAATTAAAGAAAATATAATTAATTCTTATATAATATAATTTTTAAATAATCTAAACTGATTATAATTATTTATAATTTTCTTAATTATTCATAACGCATATCTAACCATCTAAATTTAAAACCTCAACAGAAATATTTTTCTTTAATCACTTACAACACTCCATGGTTTATACTAACTTAAGACATATTTTTAAGGAAATTATTTATAAATAACACCCAGAAAATGCGTTAATTACGCAGATTACAAGTAAAACAACCTTAAATATGATTATCATTTATTAATACCAGAGATCAGAAAGAGAGAGGAATTGCAGCAAATGAACCGGAAAAACCAGATTGAAACAGTGTTGTTTCGCTGTCATGTCTTAATCTAACATGAAGAATAGTAAGATTATTGGTTTTGTTAAACTCTGGCTGGAGTTTTGGGATCATGGTCCTTGTTTGCACCTGTCCTGGAATCAGTGCTTTCCAGTAACAACCTTTCCCATTCAACCCATCAGCTTCCTCCAACAGCTCCTCGCCCCCTCACTCAATTTCTTACATCCTGCAAAAAAAACAAAACTTTTACATGCAATCTTGTAGACTCATAAAAACTTTTTCTGGTCGAAAAATTTCTGTTAGAAACGAATTCTAAAATTTTAGGAGTAGATCGTAAATTTTAAGGGATGAAAATAGGTTATGAATAGAAAATAAAAAAATTAAAATATATAATAGTTTAAAATTTTCGAGAGATGACTGCCCTGATACGAAGAAAGAGAGAGAGAGAAGACCTTAACAAGTAAATCTTGGACAGAAGAAAGGAGTTCCTTGTTTGATTTGAGGTTTCCTGTATACCAAAAAATGAAAAATTTAATGATAAATAATATCTACTAATATAAGAAACCCAGAAAAATAATGGACTTACTAGTTGTGGGAACAGCAGCACAGGGAAGAAGAAGATAAGAGAAACCCAGAAAAAGTAGCAACAATCTACAAAAGCTTTGTTCTCCATGTTAATCATCAACAGTTTACATACGACAAAAGAAAAAGGAATTGGTGATGGCAAAGGAAAGCATGTGAGCTCCTTGCTTTATATAGAGTTAGAGACAAAGTGTGGTGGAATTCTTTTTTTTTTTTTACGTTTACTATTGTTTTAATTTTTAAATTCCAAATTAATTAAAAGGAAATTGAAAAAAAATGAAAAGTTGTACAATTCACAAAAAGTCAGCTTCTTCCATTTATTTGATATTAAAGTTGGGTGAGTTCCCCCAGCCTAACTCTATCTCCTCTATTTGATTCATAATTCTCTTGATTTCGTATCATATTTTTATTTAAAATTTTATATATTTATATTTACATTAATGTCGATTTGCTAATAACTTTATTTTGTAGTGTTAAGGTATTTGTGTTATTTAATTAATATGAGATGCTTATAACACCAGCCTAACTCTATCTCCTCTATTGGATTCATAATTCTCTTGATTTCGTATCATATTTTTATTTAAAATTTTATATATTTATATTTACATTAATGTCGATTTGCTAATAACTTTTATTTGTAGTGTTTAAGGTATTTGTGTTATTTAATTAATATGAGATGATTATAAGTTAGTATAGGTTTAATTCTAAATTGAATGTACACACATCCCACAGATGTAATTGCTCAAACATAAAATCTCTAAAAAAAAATAACTTTCTTTTATGTAATTTTAGAAATTTATGATTAAATAAATTTTTAAAATTAAAAAATATTCCCATTTATTATATAAACATTTATATATAGAAATGTTTTACGATTTTTTTTTGGAATAACTACACTGATGGTCACTTATGTTTGTGTTCTTCTCCATTTTTGATCGTTGATTTTAGAAAATATAAGATACAATTATTTTTGTTTTTATTGAATTAATATGTAGTCATCCCAAGTTAACTGTTGTTAACAATAGTTAAATATTTGTATATAATCACTCATTTGGTCCATGCTATTTACATATTCTCTCAATTTAAATCTACTTTTAATAAATTAAAATAAATTTAATTCTCTAATTGAATGATGCCACGTGTCATGCTACTTGTTACCATTCGGTTGGAGGATTAACTTTATTTTAATTTAATATATTTATTTTCATCAATCAAAGTGTGACATTTGTCACCTTTTGATTGGAAGAAAACAAAGGAAAGCAAATTGGGGGTGGGGGAATTCAAACCTTGGACACTTACGAAACAATGTATTCAATCATTAAGCCAAGACCATTGTTTGATCTAAAGTAGACAACATGATGTATATATTTTGTATCTTAGATTATAAATACTTAAATTCATAATATTATATATATATATATATATTAACTTAAAAATATTTTAATATTAACTTGTTAAATATATTTTGTTATTAACTTAATTTAAAAATATTTTATTTTTATTTTCATTTAAAAATATATATTTTATGTTAAAATTTATTTAAAAATAAGACTAAATTGAGAGAATTTGTAAATAAAAGGGACCAAATGTGTGCTCATACCAACTATCACATCACATATTATGTTAATTGTTAACAGTAATTAACCCGTGATGACCACATCTTAATTAAACAAAAATGAAAGTGACCATATCTTAATTAAATAAAAATGAAAGTGATCATATCTTATATTTTTTTCTAAATCAGGGACCAAAAGTGAATAAAACACAAACATAACTGATCATTTGTGTAGTTAACCCTATTATTTTATATGTTTATAATTAATTTTCTATAATTTATTTACATGATTTATTTATATTTTATAATTTTATCTACATGAACTAATATATGAAATGGCATATCAATAATGTTAAGAATTTTATGTCTTGGTTAGTATTTTGTTTAAAATAATAATTCTAATTTTTTTATTGCGGATCAAATTTCACTCTTTAGAAAGTTGAGAGTTAAATTTAATACAAAATAAATAAAAATAAAATTAATAAACTATTAAAATCTAAATTATCATTATAGCCATACAATAATTGGTGATTTTTCTTGACATAAAAAAAGTGATTTTTTTAACAAAAAAAAAGTGATTTTTAACTAACAATTGAAGAAATATATGGCATAGGGTAGATACAAACAGATAGAGATTCACGGGGTTTAATTGGTACTAGTTTTTACATAAATTAACTAATTTGGACTATATATATTCCATGGTGGTGTTAGGTCCATTTGACTTTTGAAAATCATTATTCCAATATCATTTTGTTATTTAGTTTGTCAGATTCAGTTAATATACCTGGAAAGTTTTAGTGAAATTCAGTAAATCAAATTCAATTAGATTAAATTTATATTCAAAAGATCTTGATCAGATTCATCTCGTGAGCAACTCTCATTTGATTTCACTTCAAGATCCATCTTATCAAGATTAGTTGTTTTTTTATATTTGAAGATTTTAGTTAAAAGTTTTGGGTGAATTAATTTTGTGTAAATTATCTTTGTAACACTAGAAATTTTGGGATAGTATAATTTAAGTTGTTGGACTAAGTTGGGCTTAGTTGGGTTGGAATTGGGCCCAATTAACCATAAAAAACAGATTTGAATTGTAGAAAGATGAAAGGACCAAATGTATAATTTATCCTTTTTAAGAAGATGATGGTTCTATTATCTCTTTCCACTTCTTCTCTTCATGTCATCATTCCCATTTCCTTCTCTATTTTTCTCTCCAAGTGCCTAACTCAAAGGTAAGATCTGAGAACCTTTTATATTTATTTTAAACTTCAATTCATCCTCAATCCTCCAACAAACTTGTTTGATGTTTTAAAGCCTTGGGTTCTTTATAGTGAAAGAAAAAGTGAGATTTTTCATCCAAATCTTAGAGGAAAGATGTGTGGATAAGCAAGGAGTTTCATTTCGGGATTCTAACAACAAGGTAGTGTATTTCTAATCATTTTGGAGTGTTAAGGCTTTCGTAAGCATGATAAATTGCTAAGATTTGTGTATTGAGCATTTTGAGTTTATGCTTGATTTCATGATTAAATGACGTTTTAGATGTAAAACATGTGTTTTTATGTCACTTTTGACCCTAAGTAACCTCCTAAAGATTTATTACATGATTATGAACCAAACTAAGACCTTTAGGGTGATTTTTGGGTTTTTTAGAGCTTAAAAAAGACATTTTAAGCGATATTGGACCAAATTTTAAGCGAAAAAAGCCATTTTTAGTACCAATACTCAGGGGTATCGATACTTGACCCTAGGGTATTGATATTGCAAGTAGAGTATTGATACTACCCATCTTGGATGGTTAGATTTGACCTCGTTAAGGCCCGTAAGAGATAAAGATGATTCGTAAAGGTGGAACTTACTCCGTGGGAACATAAATAACCAAATATACCTAGAAATACTCGTAGGAGTGAGTTACAACCGATGTAACCATACTAAGCATGATATGTCCAAGTATATGCATGTATCAAATAATTAAGGACGAGGGTTGTTGCAGAGGATATACCGGCAAGCGGTACAATGAGTAAGCCAGATCAAGTAATAGAAAAAATCATGTACTTCAGGAATGTTAGTGAATTGAGAACGTATAAGACATTCCTTCAATTCAAGGGGTGTTTGGGAGAAGCACGATAAGAGTGATTAGAGCGTCGCTACCTAGTAATGAACCCGAGTTAGGTATCAGGCTACCTAGTGTTACATACAGCAAACAACAAACACAATAATCGTTAAAAAATACAAAAAGTGTAGAGACTTCTCTAGAGACAAAGAATGACTAAAACACCCTTAAGTAACGAATTAACAAAATAGAGTCACTTAGAAACTAACAAAAGTAACAACCTAATAAACCCTTGCATAATGTTCTAAGTAAGAGAACGAGTGAGATAGCAACTAGTGAGAGGGTAACCTCACTATAGTCAAGCTACCTCAGTTGCCCTGGTGGGGCATTGTGAATGTTATGTGGCCTTAGGACCCTCAGTTATGCATGTATAGTTGTATGAGTGCAATACAACATATATCTTTCGATCTTGGCTTGACAGCTATGTGAGACTGAGCCAATGCTTCAGTTGAACAAGAATTGCACCGATGTTATGTGACACTAGGTTCCCCCTCCATGATCTACTTGATGGCTATTTGAGACTAGGAGATCATTCAGTAACTTAGTGGGAATTTCACCGAGGGTGATATGACATCAGGTTCCCTCAATAAAACTAGTGTCTGATGGATATGTGAGACCAAATACTAACAAAGTGTTGTATTTAGATAATGCACAACAATGTTAGTGTCATATTCAAATAATGCATAGTAGTTATAGTCATTAGGGTTAGAGACCCTTTAAAGGTGTACTCAATATAAAAAGGTGTAGAACTAAGAGTTTTACACTAGGTGTAAGTGGATCCTAACATATATATATTATTAGTTAGGATCTACTTACACAATGTAAAAATCTTTTAGTTTTATACAAATTTAGAACTGTTGGATGAGTGAAAATAGACCATTGAGATCAACTCATTATTTTTTCAGTGAATATCTTTTTGTTTTCTACTATTAATCTTAATCATTTATTTTTACCCATCTAATGGTTTTAAATATGTGTAAAATTATATTACGTAAGTGGATCTTATCCCAATATATATATATATATATTCTAAATTAAAGAAACAAATAATAATAACAATAACAATAATTAATCGAAACAAAGTCTTGAGAAGATGATGAGATTCACATAATATTAAAATATAAAACGTGGAACTACTTATCACACTTAAAATAATGGTGTTTTAGTGAAAGAAGTTTGCAGTTAAAAAATGATTTTTACGGTCAATTAATTGTTATTATTAAGCTTGATTACTGTAATGGGAATAAATTTTTTATATTTAAGTGTGAGTGATGAAATGTTGATGAAAAGAAAAATTTGTATAAAAACAATGGAGACTTGATAAGTGTGAATGTTAGTCAATACATATGATCCTTTCAACTAATTAGGTGGAATAGGTTTTTTACCTAAACAATGTTGTAATCAACATTTTTTCGATTATTATTATCATTATTATTATTATTATATACTTCTATTATTAAAAATAAATAA